CTTTTATTTAACACATATGTTATGGTCAATTTCACCCACTAAATATTACCCGATGACCATCAAAATTGGAAGGCTTCTGTCCAGCCCTAAGCTCTAGCCCCATGCAAACTTCCGCGTCGATTGGTTTATAATTGCGACCAGTAGAGCAACTGCAAAATCAGGATTTTTTTCAGTTTTTGGTCCATTTCGACCCCTAAATATTATTCGATCATCTCCAAAACCAATAGGGTTCTATACTGACCCTATCCCAACCTCCGTTTTCAATTTCGTGATGATCCGGCCATAATTTACATGGACAGACGGACGGACATATATAGCTAAATCGACTCAGCTCGTCGAGCTAGGAAGATCCATATATACTTTCCTATGTGGAAAATCAATATTTCGTGGTGTTACATCATTTTTGGCCCAATCAAACTTATAATACCCCCAACACATAGTGTTGTAGGGTATAAAAAATATATTAAAATTTGCCCTGGAAACCCAAAAACCCTTTGGGATTTTCCTGAACTAACCGAATACTTCTTCTATCTTTGGAACGAATTGAGATAGAAAATTTTGCATACATGCATAGTTTACCAGTAGGTATGTGAAGTTCGTAATGGGTACTACAGCCTATGACAAATTTGCAGGTCCACGTCTTCGTATAGCCCCCATATAACTGTAGCTCCCGATTTTCGGTATTTTGGTGATTATTACCGGAATTGTTTCAAATTTTGTATTGGGAGATCTTAATGGTTACTACAACCTATGAAAAAAAATGTCATATGCAGGTCCACGTCTTCGTAAAGCCTCCATATAACGGTACCTCCCGATATTCGGTATTTTCATGATTTTAGCGACATTATTTGCCGGAATTATTTCCAATTTCGTATTAAAATTTCGTAATAGGTACTACAGTTATAAGCGTAGTAGCTAACACAACTTTGTGTCATATGTAAAAAGATAGATTGACAAAAAAAAAAAAAAAAAATAAATAAATAAATAAACAAAATTAAAAAAAGAAAAACAAATAAAAACAAGTAAGCAAAGGCTATAGCCGCGCGGGGTCGACCATGTGGTACCCTACAACACTACAATATGTTAGAAGCCCCCCTATGTCAAAATCAATTTTGGAAGATTTAGCTTTTGAAATTATGTCACGGAGCACTGCCTAGATATTAGCATTTTGGCCAGGGAAATTTGCCCAATATTTACACACTCCGTCGTGCTGTTAGTTGTTGTGGTCCATTTTACAAAAGCTAGAAGCCCCTCTGTATCTTCAAATTTAGACTTAAGCCAGAAGTTCGCCTTTTGTGTATTTCAGATATCATCTGTAAGTAATGTTGGTATTTTTTTCACGCAAAAGTAGTAGTCCATTCTACCCGCTGTCCTAAACTCTAACTTCATGCGAGATTTCCTGTCCGTTGGTTTCTATTCATGACCTTTATAAGGGCTGCAAAATCAGGAATGTTTTTAGTTGTTGGTCCATTTCAACCCCTAAATATATAGCGGACATCTTTGAAAAAAGTAGGCCTAGCCCTTCTGAGCCTTACCCTACCCTTGTGAAAATGTTCATGAAGATCGGACGATAATTGCACCTATATGTAATAACACCAAACTGTGTTGTAAGCTGAAAAAATATTACAAAATATAAACTTCAATATTATAAGTCAAATTGAAAAAATCGCATGCGATTAAAAATATGAAAAAATTAAAAAAAATGTCACAACATACTACAAAATCTATATTAACATCATTATTGACATCCTTTTATGCGATTTTTTTTAGATATTTTACTTTTATGCCAGGAGGGCATTCTGAATTGACAAAAATTTCAAAATCGGTCCAGCCATTCTTTAGATATAAGCATTCTAGCGAAATATATACAATGTATATATAAAGAGGAAAGGGATGTTACTCTTTATATATACATTGTATATATTTCGCTATACATATCCGATATATTAGGCATCTACGTAACGGTCAGAATTGACCTGTTCGTCTATTTGCGATTTTGCCAAGATTAAAAATATTCGCGGTTTAATGGTAAATTGTACTTTTATTTAACACAAATGTTCTGGTCAATTTCACCCACTAAATATTATCCGATTACCATCAAAATTGGAAGGCGTCTGTCTAGCCCTAAGCTGTAGCCCCATGCAAACTTCCGCGTCGATTGGTTTATAATTGCGACCAGTAGAGCAACTGCAAAATCAGGATTTTTTCAGTTTTTGGTCCATTTCGACCCCTAAATATTATTCGATCATCTCCAAAACCAATAGGGTTCTATACTGACCCTATCCCAACCTCCGTTTTCAATTTCGTGATGATCCGGCCATAATTGCGATCTGTAGCGTGATTACAAATTTACATGGACAGCTAAAACGACTCAGGTCGGCGAGATAGGAAGATCCATATATACTTTCCTATGTGGGAGGTGTTACATAATTTTTGGCCCAATCAAACTTATAATACCCCCAACACAAAGTGTTGTAGGGCATAAAAAAACTACAAATGTGCATTTGAAAATAGCAAGGCAAAATGAAAAAAAAAAATCATGCAGTATAAAACATTACAATTGTAAATTCCAATTCCAATTTTTTTTTTTTGTTTTTTTTTTTTTTTTTTTTGTCTGAATCGTTAAAATTAGGCCAGCGGTTCTTGAGTTATAACACAACTTTCCTTTGTATATATAGATATGTGCAAATTCTTGAAAATGTGGAAAAATACGTCGGGTAACAGATATAGCGAACCGAAGTATTCCATTTTCACACCTCCTCTAATACAGCTAAAATATTGGTATGTGTAAAATTTGAAGAAAACAAGTAAAAAAGTATCGGTCGGTTTTGCCGACAGATGTATACCCTCAGCCAATGTTCGATTATTTTAAAATCTTTTGACTTCTGGTTAGATTAATCAAATGTTTAAACCTTTATGCAGTTGGTTCCAAAGGAATTGGCCAATATTGGCCATTTCGTGTCGGACCTAACTAAATATGATATAAATATAGCGACGTGCTAGGTTTGAACTGGGTTGTGTTAATGGAAATTTTGGGATGCACCAAGTCATGAATAAAATAATATAATTATTCAAAATGTTTACCCTTTGTGGGGGAGGCACTTGATGAAGTGGACCAATATTATCCATTTTTGTACCAGACCTAGAACTGGCGAAAATATTAGGATTTGTCAAGTTGGAGCAAACCCGGATTACAGCTCCTCTTTCTGCGCAGAAAAAAATATTTTTTTTTGTTTTTTTTTTTTCTATTGGAAAATTTTGACCTTGTATGGGGAAGGTACCGGAAGAAGTGGACCGATATTGTCCATCTTAATACCAGACCTTGGGTTAATATAAATATTGGGATGTGTGAAACTTGAAGACAATCGGACTCTTACATCAAATTTTATGAGAGTTGTAATTATTCAAAATTTTGATCATTTGGGGGGGGGGGGGGAGGTACTTGCTGGAGTAGACCGATATTGTCCATTTTCACACCTGACCTAGCTCTGACGTAAATATTAGGATTTGCAAAGTTGGAGCAAAATCGGATTATCCTTTCTCTTTCTGTGCATAAAAATATATATTTTTTGAAAATTTCGACCTTTTGTGTGGGAGGTACCAGAAGGAGTGGGCCGATATATTCCATCTTAATACCAGAACTTGAGTTAATATAAATATTGGGATGTGTGAAACTTGAAGACAATCGGACTCTTACATCAAATTTTATGAGAGTTGTAAATATTAAAAATTTTGACCATTTGTGTGGGAGGTACTTGATGGAGTGGACCGATATTGTCCATTTTCTCACCTAACCTAGCACTGACGCAAATATTAGTATATGCAAAGTTGGAGCAAAATCGGATTATCCTTTCAATTTCTGTGCAAAAAATAATTTTTTTGAAAATTTCGACCTTTTGTTGGGGAGGTACCAAAAGGAGTGGACCGATATTGCCCATCTCCAAACTCGATCTAAGTTTGACAAAAATATTACGATGTACCAAGTTTGGACCAAATCGGATACTCCCTTCGAGAGTTATCGTGCGCACCAGCCAGCCAGACAGACGGACGGACGGACGGACATCGCTAGATCGACTCCAAATGTTCTGAAACGGATTTGGTCCAAAGAGACCTAGGGTCTAAAGTCGTTATTTCGAATAGGCACGTTTTGACCGTATCAAATGATATATACCCTCTGTAGCCATATGGCTGAGGGTATAATGAAGGTATGTGTGAAATTTTGATAACTTACACAAAACTTACATATTCATATTTCTGGTTGAGAGAAATATTTAGATATACCAAGTTGTAAAGAATCGCCGACTTGTTTCGCAAGTTATGACAGATATAAGCATTGAAAATTGTGACCCTTTATGGGTGAGGTATCAAAAGGAGTTGGAGTTGTGTTAGCAAACATATTTGGATGTGTGAAATTTGAATAGAGTTGGATGCTTACCTCGTTCTAAATATAATCCTATGTGTGGGAGGTACCTGAAGAAATGTTCCGATTTGTACCATCTTTAAAACAGATCTTGTGTTGATGGAAATATTGAGATGTGCCATGTCTGAATGGAATGTTAGTTTAGAATTTTATAAGCTTCATGAATATTCAAAATATCGTTAACAAAAATATTGTGATGTGTGTAATTTGAAGACAATCGGACACTTACATCACATTAGGCAGTACTAATGCAAATATTAGGATTTCCAAAGTTAGATCATCCTCGTATTATCCTTTATCTTTCTGTACGGTAAATTATTTTCTTTGAAAATTTTCTTTGACATTTTTGGGGGCGGGTACCAGAAGGAGTGGACCGATATTGACAATAATATTACAATGTACCAAGTTTGGACCAAATCAGGCAGACGACGGACGGACATCGCTAAATCGACTCCGCTGTTGTGCAAAAAAAAAAAAAAACAAATTGGTTTATTCATGTACACCCTCTGTAGCTATTTGGCTTATTCATATACCCTCCATCTAGTGATGCATTTGTAAATGTCAAATTTCTGTTTCGCAGGTTATGTGGCTTATTTCTTTTATGAGAGTGCCTGCATTTGGTTATCCGTGATTGGCTATCACTTATGGCGTTCAAGTGTCCGAAATAAGGAAACAGCTTCTGTGGATCTGGTAAAACATGGTAAAAGATCCTATTTCCAATGCTTTTTATTTACATATCTGTTAAGTTTTGGCTTAACTTTTGCATTGGTGATCATACAAAACTCGAATATACCCAATGACTTTAAGCCGGGAATTGGTGTTGAATACTGTTGGTTAGATGGTGAGTAGAACATGCATTTTTTTCAAAATCGCTTTCTTAGCTAATTGGAGATATTTTTTTTTCGTTCCACTTACAGTACACATCTGGGCGGCGTTGCCTTACTTTTTTGCCCTGAATGGTGTAATTTGTGTTTGCGGAATAATGTTTACTTACCTGGCGGCCAAAGTTGAAAAGACGGAAATGGAAAAATACAATGATCTCAAACCAATTGTTAGTGAAATCTCCGATCTAAATCTAAGCGGTCGTTTTGCATTTGTACGGGATAATCGAAGAATGTATGTATAAAAGTTACAGATGATTCCATGAAGGAATAATTGGAGATTGCAGATTTCAACATGTCGTTCCAATGAGTTTGCACTGTCATCGCCAAATTGATTAGGTGCAAAAATCAAGAAATTGATTTGCAATTTCTTTCTTATTGAATGTACCATCGATTTTATGGTGCTAAAATCACCAAAATAACGAACAAAGAGACATACCTTTAAATGGGAGCTATACGAAGACATGGACCTGCATACGACATTTTTTTTGACATAGGCTGGAGTACCCATTACGAAATTTAAATACGAATTTTGAAAACAATTTCTGTGAGTAACGTCGGTAATATCATCAAAATACCGAATAAAGGGAGGTATCGTAATATGGGATCTGTAAGAAAACGTGGACCGACATGGCCTTTTATCTCAATTCGATAATGTCACTAAAATAATCAAAATACTAAAAAAAACCGTTATATGGGAGCTCTACGAAACCGACATGGCCTATTTACGAGCTTATCCTGTCTACTGGCAAAACACACACGTCTGTGCTAAATTTTAGCCTTTTATGCATATATAGATATAGTTGGAAAGATTATTAAATACCTATCCAACAAATGGTCACATAATGGAGTTATTTGAAGAAGTTCGTAAGTTATAGTCAAATGATTGATTTTTGGAACCGGATTTTATTTAAAACCCCCAAAAAGTCAAAAAAGGTCCCAATAACGGGGTAACAAAATTGACGTCAAATTAAAGCTGACACTCCTACCTTTTCAAAATGCCACAATTTGTGCTAATAAATTTTTTGGATCCTATATTGCCTATATCGGTTAAGTGGATCCGGGTCTAGCCCAGGTTTTCAACCTTTTGGGACTAAAATCGTACCCAAAGAAAAAAGTAATTTCCTGGAATCATAGTAAAAATACCTTCTTCTGAACCCAAAATTTTGAAAAAATTAAAGAGTTTTTACTTAACTAGAGTTGTTCCTCGACCAATAGCCAAAGAAGTCATTTTAGTATAAATGTATCTGAATTCAAACGTGTTCCAGTTTAAACTGCAAATACCAGTGAGATTGGTTAGAGAATACCGTTAAAGTTTCCAAATATCAATTAAGTGGTTGATATGGTGGCCTTATCAAAATAGGGAACTGTATTGACAAAATTGGGTAAATGTGACTAGGTTCATTAAAATACTGAATAACGGTAGGTATCGTTATATGGAAACTGTGGGCCAGTATGGACGATGTTTTGACACCGGTTGTTGAACCAATTGTGCACTAAAAATACCAATTTTGAAAAAAATCCGATAGAAAATGTGGCCGTCGTTAAAGTCGTTAAAATACTATATAACTGCAGGCACCGTTATATGTGCGCTATAGGAAAACGTGGTTTACATTCACAATGTTCTGCCACCGGAAAACCTAGTACGAAGTGCAAATTTCAATTTTTAAGCACAACCGTGGGCTAAAGCTATAAAAATACCGAATATCGGGAGGTACCGTTATATGGGGCAGTACGAAAACGTGGACCGATATATCACATTTTCAATACCAATAATCCTACACACAATTGGTCTGTTCTAGAACTGTTGCTACGATAACCGATTTCCCTATATGATATCGAAAAAATTGCAAAACTAGTAGGTTCTGGCAGGTTCTGGAACAGATCAAATGCTCACACTTGTGCCAAAATTTAAAAGCTCTACGCCAGATAATGTGGGCTGCATAGTGATTTCAAAAATTCGTCTACCACGAATATTAAGAGGTGTTACAAACGGAATGACAAATTCAAAATTTAAATATGAAATTGTAATTTCGCCGAACAATGTAATGAAAGAATCGATGAGAAAGGCAATAACAACCAAATATCGACATTGATTTTTTTGTTAGTTTTTTTAAAACCGCAAAATTTTTTCCTTCATGCGATTTTCGGAATAAGTTTTGAACTGAATTTGAGTTTTTAATTTGGAAATATTTTTTTTTCAGGATTTCCAACTACTCCCTGCTGTTGCTTGCATTTGTTATAGTCTGGCTTTTAAATATATTATCGTATTTGGGTGAAATGTTGAGTCTAGATAATGGCAATCCTCTTCTCTACACTACAGACATTGCTAACTTCATTGAGGGTCCCTTAATATTGTTTGTACTTGTGATACAAACTAAAGTTCTGTTCTGTCCTAGGAGATAAAAATATATATACTCAGCCGTTTATGTTCATGACCTCACAGAGAGTCAGAGTCATTTTCAATGTTATTTAATTTTTCTAAGCAGTATTTTAAGACGATATTTTTTTGATGTTTTCTGAGTTGTGTTCTTCCCTCTCCTTGTTCGTTTTTTCATCGTCTTTTCGCTGCTTCAATTTATTTTCGTTTTCCGTTTCGTTTTCTCTTATGTTCTATTGTTCTATTTGACGAACCACACGTTTCTACTACGTCAAGTACCAAATTCGCTTTTTCGGAAAGGACATTCAACACATCTGTTCAATATTGAACATTTTGTTTTCATTTCATTCTTGAAGTAATGTCACAGAGTCTTGTAAAAGTTTTATCTTGGCATTTGACCGAAACTACGAGGTCATGCCAATCTTCGTAGCATATACGCCTCATGTTAATGGATATTCAAAACAATATTTGAAAATTTATCTTTCCTCTATATAGTATCCTGTGTCTCCGATATTTAGCTATATTCGTTACAGAAATCACCATCAATATGAAGGTCCATGATTTCGTTAATTTTCGAAATTTTCATATAAAAATGGAGATTTATTTCACCAGCTAAATATTAACAGATAACCATCCAAAATGCCAGGCTTCAGCTCTGTCCTATACTCTGACCTCAAGCTCCAAATCTATTGATCCTTAGTTGAGAACTGTAGAGCCACGAATTCCAAATCTAGACAATTTTTAGATTTTTTAAATATTTTGAGACCATCTGCCATAACACCTGCCAAAAAAATGGCAGGTGTACAAAATACTTTGTACATACTTTTGATACATACAATAGCAATAAACAATAAATATTCTAAAATTAAATATTTCCCAGCCGCCATAAAATATCACATGTGAAGTATTCAGTGATCTTGTGCGCTGACGCATACGATAATCTGTGAGATAATAAAGGTTATGTCCATTCAATGTAGCCCTGCAATGTTCTCCATTCAATATTAGAATAGATAAGAACAATTGTGTGGCTGCGACTAGGTTAAGTTAGATTAGTTTCAGTAGTACGTAAGGAATATATTTAGAAATAAAATCAGAATTGAATCAACAGCCAAACCTTTCGGTTGGTTTTCTTTTCTCACTCAGCAGGGTACCACGCTGCCTAATGCTAGACAAGGTTGCTAGCAAAAGTGATTCATTCGATATCACGCCGGTAGCAAAGACGTTTGAGGCATTGTTCCACCCCAGCGTAATAGAGTGTTTCTCAGAAGCTGCTGATCATCAACAGGGATCCCGCAAATTGCATAGCACAAAAACAGCTTTACACGTTGGATCGTCAATTACATGTGTGGGCGCTAGTTGTACGAGGAATTCCGAAACTAGAAGTCGAATATTCGTAGAGTGAAACAGTGAATTCCCCAATGAGAGTTTATATCTTTGAAACTATTTAACTTCCTACTTTCTGGCATTGAGTTAATAACGAACGCAGTTGACGATATCTGCGACGGCTACATATTTCACAACATGGACAGCAGAGATGAGGCTTTTACTGAAATTACAGGTCGATGGTGTTGTAATTCCGTCCACCAATTACTCTAAGGTTTATGGTTTTATTGAGCCTTTTTAAACAATATAATGATATAAACAGACTTTCAATCATTTTATGTAAGACCTATGATTATAAAGCATGTTCAAAATTTACAATAAATGTTTGCAGTATCAAGCTTTTGCTTTAAAGAAAAATAATTAATTAAATCATTAATTGTTATTATAATTCCTAGCCATTCCCAGGAATCATCCTATATTTTAATGATCACGGATTTGCTGAATAAATTTTGAAATCAATTCATAGACGTGCAAACCAAGGGGTTTAATTTTGGATTCTTCATACACTACCGGTTTTATATAAAAATAATTTTGTTTTACTTGGAAGATTTGTCAAAATTCTAGAAAAAGTTCCAAGTATTCCGTATACACTTCCCAAAACCTGGCTAGCCTGTTGGTTAAATTTTAATAAATTGTTGAATGTAATACGTAAATATTTCATAATATTATCTGAAGGTATATCTACATCATTTATGGATAGCTCTAAAGCTTTACTTTCAGGAACCACATATTTCTTGGTCTCGATTTTAGATGGATTGATTTTAATGTCCCCAGTTATCATAAAATCGCGAAACCTTATTTAAGTGATGCTTAACTTTTCACATTGCCATATTTGGTGATTCATCGGGAGCATATATGTAGTAGTCAGTATATAGAATCCCACAAGAATCTCTTTCTAAATGAAGAATATCATACATTTATATATTATATAAATGTGGAGCCAGTATAGATCCTTGGGTTAACATCGTCCAAGTCTCATATACCAATTGCTCTACAGAGTAGCTTTAAAACCGAAAGCATTAGTTGCACAAATACAAACAAGAATAAATATGAATTTTACACAAAATAAAAAGTATATAGGCGATACGTACGTGTTGTTAATAAGGCACTGGTGGTTTGGGTTTCAATATAACACTTGTATTAATTCAAAAACTCTTGAGGTCTAAATTTATGTTTCATTTATCAAAACAATTATTTTTGTGTGCAATTTTTTAGATTTTTGCTTCTTCTTTCTTAGCGATCGATATTCATTGATAACAATAATTAATCGATGGGGTTTCGATTGCTGGCTTATCGGTGTTGAATCATTAGTGGGATTCTTTAACTCATTTTTTGAGTTATCGACAAAAATCGAAAACTTTCAAACCCAAAATGTTAACATAAAAACGAAGTTATAGTTGACAACATTGGTGTCTAACGGTAGATCTAAAGGTACGGTCAGACTGAGCAAATATTTGAACCAACATTGTTTTCCCATATTTGACTGAACAAAGGTGAATTGGCGGTTGTTATGATATGCAATTTTTTTTAATTTTTACAAATTTGAATAATTGCCCGACTTCTGCCAATTTTGTGTATGTATTTGTTCTTTTGAAAAATAAAAACAAAATATTTTCAAAATCAATGATTGGAAGAAACTTAAATTGCGGGGCGCGTATTAAAACTAGTGACCAGATTAGCCATAGAATTGAAAGATTGAAAACTTAGGATCATATTTTTGAGAGAACATCCAGGCATTTCATTTATATATCGCGCTATTTGACTCATTTCGAAAATGAATGAAAAAATATCAAATAAATGAAAACAAATTCTTGCCAATACTTGTGAATAATTCTGATAGGAAGCGGGCATAGCCTCAGAGCTCTATTTTTGTAGTTTTACAAATCTGTTCTACCTCCTTAATGTACCATGGCTGTATTCCTCTGCCATGGTTCATACGTTTTATTTAATACATATGAAGTGTTTTTATTGTTCGTGGTAATGTAATTAAACTTGGTGAAGAATAAAATAAATAAAATATAGTCAACTAATATGAGGTAAGTAAAGAGTGTTTATTATTATTATTTTTTTAACACTGCCTTTTTCACTGTCATACATCCTGAACTACAGAAACTGGGTCAGACAGATAGACTGACATCGTTAAATCGACTTAGAATTGTATGCCGAATATGAATATACAGGGAGAGATGAAACAATTGCAACTAATTTCAGACTGATGTCATTTGCCAGATGCCACTCGTCCGACAGCTGTTAAAATTATTCCTGTGGCAGCTCGTTATATTGTTTACAAGCGTGCAAAAGCATTTTGGTGAAAAATTTCCTCGTTACCGTGGTACTGGTAGCGTAGCCCGACGTCAAGGAAGTGGATGGAAAAAACAGCAACATCAGCAGAAATGGTTCGAAAAGTAAAGAAGCAACTTGATTAAAACCCGCGTCGCAGTGGCCGAAAAATGCCTCGTTAGCTGAACATATCGCAATATTCTATTCGGCAAATATTGAACCAGTAAAGAAAGTCCTAAAGTCGGGCGGGGCCGATTTTATGATACCCTACACCACTTTGCTAATTTAGTTGAGCTCAACTTAATAATTAAAAGTTTTTATGGGAGAATTCAATCATACACGCTATGATTATAATTTAAATTTCAAAGGACTAAATATGCCGAAGCATTTGTATCTTTTAAATTCGGACTTGTATTGCCCATTTGGTGCGAAATTAATTTGAAATCGGATACAAATATATATGGGAACTATATCCAAATCTGAACCGATCTCGATAAAATTTGGCAAAGATATTTCTGAGCTTTATTTGATATATTTCCCTGAATATCGTTGTTACAGAGTGCATATTACGGCTGCGGAGGATAAAAATAACAAATCGGATGAACAATATTTATGGGAGCTATAGCTATATCTGAACCGATTTCGATACAATTTGGCATACTTATTTTCAGGCCTAATTTGGTTGTATGTGCAAAATTCCATACTATTCGGGCAGATATTACATGTTTGGTGCACAATAAAATGCAAATCGGACGAAGATATATATGGGAGTTATATCTAAATTTTTACCGATTATCTCCAATTTCAATAGGGTTCGTCCTTGGGCCAAACAAATGTTGTTTGCAAAATTTCATCTCAATCGGATAATAAATGCGACCTGCATTTTGTTTACAAGAATACATGGACAGACGGACGGACGGACGGACTGACATGCATAAATCAACTCAGAAAGTGATTCTATGCAGATCATCAAAAGGAACTATGGGTCTATCTCGTTTCCTTTTGCCTGTTACAAACAAATGCACAAAGACATAATACCCTGACCACCTTGTGGTGTAGGGTATAAAAATGAGCTCGGGGTAAAGCCATTGAAATTCCAAAAATATGCTAGAACTTACACCACAACAGAAAGAAAGTAGACTCAAAAGAGCTAAAGAGTTGCTTCGCTTGGCCGAAAGTGGTGAACTGCCGAATTTGGTTTTCTCCGATGAGAAAACATTCGTTGTCCAGTAGTTTGTAATCAAACAAAATAATAGTGTTTACTTGCCAAAGAGGTCAGCTGAAAATGTGCACCTTCGGTTGGCCACCAGAACTCAAGCGCCGGCCATGGTGAAGGTGTGGGCCGCCATAACAGCCGATGGTCACTCTCCGCTCGTATTAATCGTCTGTGGCATCAGAATAAGTGCCTAATATTATAGCGAAAATATTCTGGAGGGTGTATTAATGCTTTGGGCTAAATATAAAGAAATCACGCTTGAATTCCATCAGCAATAACCTTTTTCTGGAAAATTCTCATCGAAATGCTTTTGTACGCTTATAAACAGTATAAAGAGCTGTCACTGGAATAATTTTAACAGCTGTCGGATGAGTGGCTTAGAAATGACTGCAGTCTGAAGTTGGTTGCAGTTTTTTCATCTCACCATGTATATACTTAATGGGATCTACGACATATATTTAACAATGTTACTAAAGGAATGTCAAAGTTAATATACCCTCCTATTCAAGGTGGAGCGTAAGGTTTATTTTATTGAGCCTTTTTTCAAAAACGTTATAATTGGAGAGAGCATCTAAATTCACAATACAGTTATACCGAACACCTAGCTTGAGAAGAGTTGGAAAAATATAATGATTTATAATACATCAGTTTTAAAATTCCTTGCTCCCTGAAACTCATAAGGTGGAGGGTATAAGAATTCGAATCAGCTGATGTCATCTATGTCGTTTCAGGGGTATGAGTAAAAATATTGAAGTCACCCTAACCATTTAGGATGTTAAAACCAGAGATGCCAAACTGCTTCCACTTAAAAATCGCTTCAGATACGTTTTTTTTTTAAATCACCGTAAATCGCTACTGACTAAGCTTAAAAAAGACTATGAAAACTACCACAAATCTCAACTGACAAAGACCAACAAACACTATGTAAACTTGTAAAAGGGGCAAAAAAAAATCATTCGTTACACAGAAAGAGGAAAAAATTAAAAAAATAAGCATATACATTCATACGTATTTTAAAATTCAGTAAATTAATTTAAAAGTAAATATATGTTTTTTTTTTTTAATCTGACTTGAACACAAACTACAAAACCTAATCAAAAAGAAGAATTGATCTCACCCCCACATATGTACAGTTTGTCAAATAATTCTTTGCAAAATGCAAAAAAAGTCGTAATTTTGATATTTAAATTGAAAATGTATAAACAAAAAGGTGACAGTTACTATTGACATTAATAAAAAAAACATGTAATTTTCTATATAAAGCAAACCAAAAAATAACAAAAACAAGACAGAAGCAAATATTCTCTTGTCAATTAAATCTTTGCAAAATGTAAACATAGGTCGAAAAGGAAAACAAAACTAAATAACGGTACATCATTTTCGAAAAAAAAAAATTTGGTCTGCTTCTTTAATTTGCTCTCCACTAATATTTTAATACGATTCATTATTTGGACAAGTGCACATTTAAACAGAAACTGCGATTTTAACCATGCCTGGAAAACGAGTTGATGATAATTTAATTCAGTTAGTTTACGGCAAAAGAATTGGCGGAAATGTTTAATATTAAATTGAGAACCATATATAATATAATTAATCGTGCAGAAAAAGAAAATCGTCTGCACCTTAACAATTCTAAGGGAAGACCACCAAAACTCAGCAGACGCGATCAGTCCAAAATTTAAAAAAAAAAATATAAGAAAATCCGCAAACAAGTCTGAGGCAGTTGGCATTGGACATAAAAAATGAGTGTCATAAGGAAGTGAGCCACGAGACTGTTAGAAAAGTCTTAAAAATCCACAAGTACTCGTCTCATGTAGCCAGAAAGAAGACTTTGCTTTCTGCTGTTAACATTGAGAAGCGGCTTACATTTTCTATTAATAATGTTACAAATGCTGAGGAGTACTGGAACGACGTAATTTTTTGCGAAAAGACAAAAATCATGTTATATCATCATGACGGACCCAGTAAAGTATGGAGAAAGCCAAACTCTACACTTCAACAAAAAAATATAATACCAACAGTTAAGTTTGGCAAGCTCTCTGTAATGGTGTGGGGTTGTATTTCTTCAAAGGGCGTTGGGGAGCTGCGTATTTTTAACGAAACTATGACGAAAGAATATTATCTGGACATTCTGAAAAATGAATTATCCAGGAGTGCCAAAAGTTTCGGGTTTTTTGATCGTCAAAAGCCAAATAAACTTAAGTATAAGTTGTATCAGGACAACGACCCCAAACACAAATCGTTACTTTGCAGGACCTGGTTGCTTTATAATTGCAGCAAAGTTATTGACGCTACTCCCCAAAGTCCAGACTTAAATCCCATAGAAATTTTGTGGGCATTATTGAAGAAAAAGGTTGCAAAACGCGGTCCTACCAATAGAAACGCTTTAGTCAAAGCAATACAAGAAGAATGGCTGAAAATTCATGAATATTACGATATAAATGGACTAATACAGTCAATGCCGCGTCGGCTAAAGGCAGTCATGGATGCTAATGGACACCATACCAAATATTAACCTTCATAGTAAAAAAATTTTAAAGTTTCTGTTGTAATTCTACTATGAGTTTTCGTTTTGCAAAGAATTTATTGACAAGGAAATATTTGCATATGTACAATCAACCGTTTCTCAGTTTATTTCCAAACTCATCAACTTCTACATAGAAAGGTTCTTTACAAGGTCTATAAAAGGTCGGCTAGTAATCTAATCTCTGAGTTTGCGGTCAAAATTCATACAAGTAATAAGTTTATTGTCAAATAGTTGTTACAAGTAGTCTTCTTGTCCAAGCTTATATAGGCTTTGGTCCGTTATTCTTTTTTGTTTGCTTTAAATGTTATGACAATAAAAATCGCTACAACCACTACCTTAAACAGACAAATCGCTACTGTAGCGATTTAAAAAAGAAAATCTCTACAACACTTAAATAGTGGTTTTCATGCGTCAAAAATCACCAAAAGTAGCGGGAAAACTACCAACTTGGCATCTCAGGTTAAAACTTTTAACCACTGTAAGAGATTAATGAACTTTTCGAATTCGAGCGACTCGACCATGCACACACCCAGGGCTGCCAACAAAATTTCAAGAAAAATCGTATTATACGTGAAAATCGGCAAATAATCGGCAAAGTATATATGATTAAATTAATTATAACAAAACACAAGTGTTTATTACATATGCATTTCAATAAAAATAAGCAAAAAAATTTAGCTCCTTCTATGGAGAAGGTTCTGAAGGAAATGGGCCATTCTCATCCATTTCGTATCGCACCTAAGAAAATATGATATAAATAATGCGACGTGACAGTTTTGGCCTATATTGGTTACTTTCTTCACTGGATATAACATATGTGTTAATTTTTTAAAATGTTGAAATATGCGTGAGTTACCAGATATAGTCGACCGAAGTATTCCATTTTCATACTTCATCTAATACCGATAAAATCCCATGTTCATCCCAGGTTTTTGGTTGAGAGAAATATTTAGATATAGCAAGTTGCAAAGAATCGCTGACGTGTTTCGCAAGTTATGACAGAAAAATGTATTTAAAATTATAACCCTTTGTTCGTGAGGTACCAGAAGGGGTTCGCAGATATATATCATTCACAACCGATCTTGTGTTAGCAAAAATATTTGGATGTGTGAAATTCGAAGAGAGTTGGATGCTTATTTCGATTTCTTTGTGCGTTTTGTTTTTCAAAATCTTGAACCCTATGAGGGGAGGTACCGGAAGAAATGGTCCGATCTCTACCATCTTTATAAAATATTTTGTGTTGATGGAAATATTGAGATGAACCAAGTTTGAATAGAATCGGATGTTAATTTCGCGTTTTATGAGCTTCATGGATATTCAAAATGTTTACCCTTTGTGGCGGAGGTACCAGAAGGAGTGGACCGATATGTCTCATCTGCGAACTCGATCGAAGCTTGTTAATAATATTACAATGTATGAAGTTTGGACTTAATTGGATACAGCCTTCGAGAGTTATCCTGCGCACAGCCAGACAAACGGACGGACGGACATCGCTAGAACGACTTACAATATTCTAAAACGGATTTGTTCCAAATTGACCTAGGGTCTAAAACCGTTATTGAGATGAGGCACGTTTTGGCCGTATCAAATGATATATATTATATAGCCATATGACTGAGGGTATAAAAATTAGTGGCCACAAAGTCAGTTAAATGAATAGTATCTCTTATAACGTCATGTTTGATGAAATTATTCAAAACGATTCTAAAAAGAACTGCATTGGGTTAAGTAAATTATGAATTTCGGTAGATGATTTTTCAAATAATTTGTAGGCGTTGACAATATGTGCCAAAAACAAGTAAAAAAAACAGTAAGTTCGGCCGGGCCAAACTTTTAATACCCTCCACCTTAGGGTAAAGGAAACATTAGAAGAAATTTGACAACAACCATTAAAATGTCGAATATTGGGAGGTATCGTTATATGGGGGCTATACCAAATCGTGGAACTACACATGCAATGTTTCGCCAACGGAGCTAGAACCCATTATGACCTACAAATACCAATTTTTAGACCAATCCGCGAAAATATGTGACAAAAATTATCAAAATACCGAATATAGGGAGGTACCGTTATATGGGGGCTATACCAAAACGTGGACCTATAATTACAATGACTCGCCACACGAACTGGGACCCATTATGATCTACAACTACCAATTTTTAGGGAAATTCGTGAAAAAATGTGTCAAAAATCATCAAAATACCGAATATTGGGAGGTACAGTTATATGAGGACTATACCAAAATGTAGACCCATACATGCAATGTTTCGCTACCGGAGCTGGAACCCATTATGACCAACAAATACCAATTTTTAGACAAATCCGTGAAAAAATGTGGCATAAATCATCAAAATACCGAATATCGGGAGGTACCGTTATATGGGGACTATACCAAAACGTGGACCTATACATGCAATGTTTTGCCACACGCACAGGGACCCGTTATGACCTACAAATACCAATTTTCAAACAAATCCGTGATAAAATGTGGCATAAATCATCAAAATACAGAATATCGGGAGGTACTGTTATATGGGGACTATACCAGAACGTGGACCGATATATCTCATTTTCAATACCAACCATCCTAGACACAATACAAATTGCTCTGCTAAATTTTGGCGCTCTACGTCAAATAATGTGGGCTGTATCGTGATTTCAACAGACAGACAGACGGACATCGTTAAATCGACTAAGAATTTTATGCTGATTATGAATATATATACTTTATGGGGTCTACGACGAATATTTAAGGATGTTACAAACGGAATGACAAAGTTAATATACCCTCTATCCAAGGTGGAGGGTATAATGACAGATATATTTTAATTGTTTCTGTATATTTTAGATTTTAAATTAAAATGTGGGGCAGTTTGAGATGATCACTAAAATGTTGTCCTTTTTGAGGCAAAAATCGAAAAAATCGGCATTTCTCAATTTTAGAGTGCATAATCGTCAAAATGCCAATAAATCGGAAAAAATGGCAGCCCTGCACACACCAGACCGCTCAAAAACTATTGTTGCGACATCTGTTAGCTAACGCTTTCGTTTCGTTGAAAGCTTTTATTGTACATATTTTCATTAGTCTATGTTGAAACCGTGATGCTCAAACGAAAAGCTCAAAAAGCTTTTGTCTATGAAAAACCAGTATCTGTATTCGATGAATTTTGTTGTTCGGCAGAGAATAGACAATGCAGGCTTGGCGTTCATGCATGAAAGGAAAGAGTAGTTGGCCCAATGATCGCAGCGGCTTGTTTTTGTCGCACCTCTCCAGAAAACAAAACTCTAGTTGTTTAGATGAGAGAACGATTGTCGCAACTAATAGATAAGTCGGGTTAGAGGCGCTCAGTAATCATTGAAACTTGCTTTGGAGTGGCGGTTCGTGGTTGTGTTCGCAATAAAACGAAGTCCGTTTTTGTATTATTTGTTTATTTGTTACCAAATGTTTTAGCCAAATTGAGATTGGTGGGCGATTAAAATTCAATCTAAGCTACCAAACCTAAAAAGTACGCATAACGATACAAAAAAAAAAAAAATAAAATAAAATAAAATAAAATAAGTTTTAAAAGAAAATTGCAAATGAATTCAATTAAAAAAGTAGGGAACATAAAAAAGCAAAAACAAAAAAGTATTAATTTTTAAAGTTTGGCTTGGTGAATAAGTGTCATTGGAAACGTAATAAAAGTATGATCAAATGGCAGTAGCAAATTATTAACTCACCTCATAAATCCATAGGCTTACAAAAAATCCGAATCGCTGTCAGCCAGCCAGCTTCAAAATAGAAAAACTGAAAATAATAATAACAAAAAAAAAAAAAATACAAAAACAATAAATAAATAATAGAAAAATACTCTAAAACGTGAACGAAAATTTATTGAAATCCAGTTTTTTTGTTTCTTTAATCTCTTTTTGTCTTGTCTTGTTTTGTTTGATGTTTCAACTTTGGGTGAGGTAATCATGCAGAATGGAATCAATGCCATTGTTTTTCCGGCGTATCATAGAAACTAGTTTCGACGGTTTTTGGTATTGCGGCTACGACGATAGATGATAATAGAAAATCCAGCAACAATCCAAATTTGAATAAATATCAACGCCACAATTGTCATCTCATCACCAAATTTATTTATATTAATGCTAATTTTGACGTGCTCTGCATAATATCTTTATTTTTATTTGCTTTTATACACATTTACCGGTATTCACTCAATGTGTCATTTTCGTATTGGCACAAACCAATCAGTTTCCAAATTAATTGTACGGTTTCGAATTGTTTGCTGAAATATACATTTGTATAATATGTCTCATCATAAGTTCATAAAGATACCAGTCAGAAAAGGTCAAAAGCCGGACGGGACCGACTATATGATAGCCTACACCACTATGCGTATTTAGTAGAGCTACCGTAACAAAAAACCAGTAAGGAAAGTTCTAAAGTAGGGCGGGCCGATTTTATGATACCCTACACCACTTTGCTAATTTAGTTGAGCTCCACTTAATAATTATTACGGCTGTGGATAACAAATACAATAAATCGGATGAACAATATATATGGGAGCTATAACTATATCTGAACCGATCTTCACCAAATTTGGCATACTACCTTCTAGACTAAATTCGGTCGTATGTGCCAAATTCCATCCCATTTGGACAAATTTTAGATGTTTGGTGCACAATAAATGGTAAATCGGACGAAGTTATATATGGGAGCTATATCCAAATCTGAACCGATCTGGATATAATTTAGCAAAGGTATTTCTGAGCTGCATTTGATATATTTCCCCCAATTATTGTTGTTACAGAGTGCATATTACGGCTGCGGAGGACAAAAATAACAAATCGGATGAACAATATATATGGGAGCAGATATAGCTATATCTGAACCGATTTCGATAAAATTGTTCATACTTATTTTCAGGCCTAATTTGGTTGTATGTGCAAAATTCCATACTATTCGGGCTGATATTACACGTTTGGTGCACAATAAAAGGTAAATCGGACAAAGATGTATATGGGAGCTATATCTAAATTTTGACCGATCATCTCCAATTTCAATAGAGTTCGTCCTTGGGCCAAACAAATGATAGGTGCAAAATTTCATCCGGATAGGGTAATAAATGCGAACTGTACTTTGTTTTCAAAAATACATGGACAGACAGACAGACGGACGGGCGGACATGCATAAATCGACTCAGAATGTGATTCTATGCAGATCATCAAAAGGAACTATGGGTCTATCTAGTTTACTTTTGCCTGTTACAAACAAATGTACAAATGTACAAAGGCATAATACCCTGACCACCTTGTGGTGTAGGGTATAAAAAGTAAAAAAACTGTGAGTTCGACCGGGCCGAACTTTGAATACCCTCCACCATATGGTACAAATTTGGCAATTTTCAAAAAACTAAAATCCATTAAAAATTCTGTGAAAATCTTAAAAATACCGAATGTAGCCGGATATTAGAGTCTATACGACGACGTGGATCTGCGTACGCAACTTTTGTCATAAGCCTGCACAGATAATTTTCTGGCATAGGATGTAGTATCCATTACGAACTTCAAATACAAAATTTGAAATAATTCCGGTAAATAATGCAGCTAAAATCAACAAAATACTGTATATCGGGGGTACCGTAATATGTGGGCTATACGAAGACGTGGACCTGCACGAACTATTTTCTGTCAGAGGCTGTAATATCCATTACGAACTTCAAATGCGAAAATTGAAACAATTCCGGTAAATAATGTCGCTAGAATCATCAAAATACCGAATATCCGTAGCGGTACCGTTATATGGGTGGATATACGAAGATGTGGACCTGCACAGACAATTTTCTGTCATAGGCTTTAGTAAAGTAATTAAAAATGTCTCTTAACAGTTGTTCCAGAAATAAACAAACAGAACAATGTTGACAACTTTGAGCATGCGAAAACCACTTACAAACACCTAATATAAGAGCGTTCGCTCTGAAATTTGCTATCGCAAATTGGAAATGGCAGCGTACGACGCTTTTCATTGTTTCATTTCATTTCATTGTTTTAAATACAGCGTTTAGATTAAAATGTACGTAGTTTAAAAAAAGGTGGCACAAAAATTCAAAAAAGTGGCTCATTTAGGATCAAAATAAAAAAGTGGCAAAATTGGAAGAAGATGTATATCGAAGTTACATAGAAATCTGAACCGATCTTCAAAAAAAGTTGGCAGAGGTATTTTCGAGCTGTATCGGATGTCCGGTATCATCTAATATCTTTAATGTGGAGGGCACATTATGCATGTAAGTGACTTTAACACCAAATCGGATGAAACATATGTATGGCAGCTATAGCTATATCTGAGTCGATTTCCGAATTTGTAATACTTGCTTCTGGGCTGAATTTCGTCGGAAGTGCCAAAATTAAGTCCATTTGGGCTGATATTAGTTATTTCGTACACAATAAACTGATATCGGATAAAGACATATGTGGGAGCTATATCCAAACAAAATTTTAAGCATTTATTTCTGAGCTGTATCAGATATCTGGCACCTGAGATCATTGTTGTGAAGTGTTCAAATCCGATGAAAAATATATGTGAGCTAAAGTTATATATCAGAACCGATTTTCACCAAATTTGAAGCACTCGATTCTGGCGTAAGTGCCAAAATTCTGTCCATTTGGTGCACAATAAGCTTGATATCGGATAAAGATATATATATGGGAGCTATATTAAAATCTGAACTTATTTCTGAGCTGTATCTGATATCGGGTACCCGAGATCATTGTTGTGAAGTTCACATTACGCATGTGATAGACTTTAACTTTAAATCGGATGAAACATATATATGGCAGCTTTAGCTTGCTCCATATCAATTTGGTGCAGAATAAACCTATATCGGATAAAGATATATGTGGGAGCTATACCCAAATCTGAACCGCTCCTGACAAAACTTTAGGCACTTTTTTCAACCGATTATCACCAATTTCAATGGGGTTAGTCCTTGGGCCAAACAAATATTGTTTGGAAAACTTCATCTCAATCGGATAATGAATGCATTTCGTTCATAAAAATACAGTAAAAGATGTACATAAATCGACTAAGAAAGTGATTCTACGACGATCCCCGACCTTCTTTCTAATATTCTTCTATGAGAAGACCTTCTGATCTGCTTCTATAAAAAGACATCGTGGTATTCTTCTATAAGAAGATCTTGTGATCTTTTCACAAAAGAGAAGACCTTGTTGACTTTTTCTAAAATAAGACCTTGTTTTCTTCTATAAGAAGACCTACTGGTCTCCTTCTATGAGAAGACGTTCCGGACTTCTACTATGAGAATACCTTGTGATCTTCTTCTATAAAAAAAACCTTCTGGCCTTTCTTCTATAGGAAGCCATTCTTTGTGCATGAGAAGAATTTGTGGTATACTTATTTAAAGAGGCCTTGTGGTCATGTTATATACTATGAAGTCCTTGTGGTCTTCTTCTGTAAGAAGACATTGTGCTCTTTATACCCTACACCACATAGTGGTAAGGGTCTTATGTCTTTGTGCATTTGTTTGTAACATGGAGAAGGAAACGAGATAGACCCATACTTACTTTTGAGAACCTTCATAGAATCACTTTCTGAGTCGATTTATGCATGTCAGTCCGTCTGTCCGTCCGTCCGTCTGTCCATGTATTCTTGTGAACAAAATGCAGGTCGCATTTATTATCCGATTGAGATGAAATTTTCCAAACAATATTTTTTTGGCCCAAGGACGAACCCTATTGAAATTGGTGAGAATCGGATCAAATTTAGATATAGCTCCCATATATATCTTCATCCGATTTCGGGTTAAATGTGCATCAAATGTCCACTATCAGTCCAAATTACCTGAATTTTGGCACACCCAACCGAGTTCGGCCTAGAAGCAAGTATATTAAATTTGGAGAAAATCGGTTCAGATATAGCTATAGCTCCCATATATATCTTTCATCCGATTTGGTGTTTAAGCCTCTTACATTCGTAATATGCACTCCACAAGAATGATATTTGGTACCAGGTATTAGATGGAGCACAGAAATAGCTGTTTTAAATTTTATCGAAATCGGTTCAGATTTGGATATAGCTCCCATATATATCTTCATCCGATTTCGGGTTAATTGTGCACCAAATGGCCGATATAAGTCCAAATGGACTGAATTTTAGTACATCGGACCAAATTCAGCCTAGAAGCAAGTATATCAAATTTAGTGAAAATCGGTTCAGATATAGATATAGCAACCATATATATGTTTCATCCGATTTAGTGTTTTAGTCCCTTACATTCGTAATATTCACCCCACAACCGTGATATTTGGTACCAGGTATTAGATGGAGCACAGGAATAGCTGTTTTAAATTTTATCGAAATCGGTTCAGATTTGGATATAGCTCCCATATATATTTTCATCCGATTTCGGGTTAAATGTGCACTAAATGGTCAATATCAGCCCAAATCACCTGAATTTTCGTACATAAGACCGAATTCAGTCTAGAAGCTAATACGTCAAAT